ACACGTCGGGCAGGCGTCACGCACATCTTCATCAATTCGTGCCCAATACGAATTGAGACGACTAAACCATGCTGAACGTAATTGCGCCAAAACTACCCTGGTTTGTGTAGGCAGCTGACGTTCTTCAGCTGCAATGGAAGGGGGGTGTACACCTAGGACGGCATTCATTTTATAATTGCTAATGGCTTCTGCGACTGCAACGGTAAGAATGCCACTCAAACCTGCCTGATAGGCTTCTTGATCTAGAGGTTCTCTCTTGTAGCGTTGGACCACCCTCTCTAGATCATGTATGTCCTCCCCGACACGCCTGGCTGGGGGAGAATTATCCACCATATGATGGTTGAGATGACTCTCACGGTAACACCCAAGCAGGAACTGCAACGAAAGCATATGATTATGCTGATGCAAGGGAAGGACTATCGCCTCCTCATGTAGATGGTCCACTGGTGTCATGAGAAGGCACCCTGTCGCAGTTCTGAGGGCAGCATTCTGGCAGGTCTGGATGTGCTTCCACTGTGTAGCACTAGTATTCGCAGACGACACTGGAACCGCATAGCTGACCACAGACCGTCCCATGGCCATGGTGATGATGTGGGCCGCCATAACAGCCAGAGGTCGCTCTCTCGCATCAGAATAAATACCGAATATTATCGCGAAAATATTCTGGTGGGTGTCTGAAAGCCTTAAGCTCGCAAACATTTTGGCCGCAGACCTTGAACATTCCCAACAGGACTCAGCATCATCGCACTCAGCTCGCGTCACCCAAGAATGATTTCAAAATGAGGTTCTTCATTTCTTTTCATTTCCAGCGCCCAATGACCACATAAAATCTCCGGATACCAATCCGTTGGACTATTGTGTCTGGAGTGTTTTGGAGAGCAAGATTGGCACTAAAAAAACGCCAAAGTGTCGATCACCTCAAGCAAGCGCTTCACCGAGAATGGGCCAAAATACCGCAGAGCAACATTCGGACAGTGTGTGACGGTTTCATTGGCCGTTTGAAGGCCATAATTCGTGCCAAAGGTGACCAATTCGAACAAATCGAAATTGATTCTAAAATTTGATGCTATTTCCGACCTTTTTTGCTTTCATTCAATAAAATTTAATAACAAGTTAAAAAAAAATTAAGTTCGGCCGGGCCGAACTTTTAATACCCTCCACCTTAGAGTAAAGGAAACATTAGAACCCATTATGACCCACACATACCAATTTTTGACAAATCCGAAGAGAAATATGGCAAAAATCATCAAAATACCGAATATCTGGAGGTACCGTGGACCTATACGCACAATGTTTCGCCAGCGCAGCTAGAACCCGTTATGACCAACAAATACCAATTTTTAGACAAATCCGCGGAGAAATGTGTCAAAAATCATCAACATATCGAATATCTGGAGGTACCGTGGACCTATACAATGTTTCGCCACCGCAGCCAGAACCCATTATGACCAACAAGTACCAATTTTTAGACAAATCCGTGAAAAATGGGGCAAAAATCATCAAAATACCAAAAATCGGGTGTTACCGTTATAAGGGGGCAATACCAAAGCGTGGACCCATAAATCGCCACACGAACTTGCACCGACCTACAAATACCAATTTTCAGACAAATCCGTGAAAAAATGTGGCAAAAAATCATCAAAATACCGGATATCGGGAAGTACCGTTATATAGGGGCTATACCAAAACGTGGACCTATATATACCATGTTCTGCCACCGGAGCTAAAACCCATTACGAACTGCAAATACCAATTTTCAGACAAATCCACGAAAAATGGGTGCGAAAATCATCAAAATACCGGATATCGGGAGGTACCGTTATATGGGGACTATACCAAAGCGTGGACCCATAAATACAATATTTCCCCACACGAACTAGGACCCATTGCGAACAACAAATACCAATTTTCAGACAAATCCGAGTAAAAATATGGCAAAAATCGTCAAAATACCGAATACCGGGAGGTACCGTTGTATGGGGACTATACCTATATATACCATGTTCCGCCACCGGAGCTAAAACCCATTGCGAACTACAAATATCAATTTTCAGACAAATCCGTGAAAAATTTTGGCAAAAAATTATCAAAATCGGTAGGTACCGTTATGTGGGGACTATACCAAAACGTGGACCGATATATCTTATTTTCAATACCAACCAACCTAGACACAATACAAATTGTTCCGCTTAATTTTGACGCTATACGTCAAATAATGTGGACTGTATCGTGATTTTAACAGTCAGGCGGACGGACACATTTCCAAGGTGGAGGGTATAAAAAATGTAAAAATTATGGCGTTTGACTTTGTTGCAGTTATTTTTTTATCTCACCCTGTACTGCTATTATTAAAAAATTTTGTTTAAAATCGGTTATGGCTTCTTTGGTATAGGGTACCACACAATTCGGCCCTGCTAAATAATTTGTAACAAATATTTGTGGCATTTATTTTTCAAATTTTCACGGTTCACATGATTCGGATGTGTCATCATCATTCCGGCACTTCTTTACATTTTGAATTTGTCGGTTTTAATGACCCAGATTTTGTTTTTTTTTTTTTTTTTTTGAAAAGTGTCATATGATTTATTGGCTGATTACAACGGCATGGCGAACCCATTTTGTTTTTGGGCCGCAGACAAATTTATGAAAATTTCACAGCAGGTGATGAAAAAATAGAGAGAAAAAAACAACCAACCCAAAAATAGAAAACTATAAATTTGAAAAAAAAAAAAAATAAATAAAAATAAAAATGCCAATTAAAAGTTCAAAAATTACAAAGTGTTTTCAACAAATTACGATATAATTTAAAAATAATTTCAAATTTAAATTAAAAACAAATATTCCTACAAAGTTTAAATAATGTTCTTGGTTGAGTCTTCCTTAGCGTCCTCTTGTGCATTATTATTTTCTTTCTTCTGTATTGGTGTCGCTGCTGCAAATACTTCTCAAGTACCATTGCCCAAGTGCATACTTCAAATTATTTCCAAATATGTCCCTGACCTTCAATGGCGTTTGTGTTCTTCCTTCATTTCTGCCGTCCTTCCTTCCTTCCATGCATTCTTTCTGTCTTTCCTTCCTAATTGATGTTCGTTTTTCCATTACATTGGGTATGTTTACTCACACACACATACACAAATTTCCGCATCTTGAAAGGCAAATGAACGAATAAAATGTGGTCTTGGATAAAGCTTAAAACGGATATTTTTTCAAAATCAAGGATGTTTTTTTCAAAATCCAGTTTTTTTTTTTTCAAAATCAATGAATTTTAAAAAAAACTTTTTTTCAAAATCGAGAATTTATTAAAAAAATCCTTCATAATTTCGAAAATTTCTTTCCTGGATTTTTTATACCCTCCACCATAACTTTGCCATTCCGTTTGTAACTCCTCGAAATACTCATGTAAGATCCAACAAAGTATATATATTCTTGATCAGCGTAAAATTCTATGTCGATTTAGCGATGTCCGTCTGTTAAGTTCGTAAATGGGTCATGTAGGTCCACGTTTTCATATAGCCCCCATATAACAGTACCTCCCAATATTCGGTATTATGATGATATTAACGACATTATTCACCGGAATTGATTCAAATTTAGTATTTGAAGTTCCAAAGGGATACTACAGCCAAAGACAGAAAATTGTCTCTGCAGGTCCACGTTTTCATATAACCCCCAAATAACGATACCTCCCGATATTCGGTATTTTGATGATTTTAGCGAGATTATTTCAAATTTCGTATTTGAAGTTCGTAATGGATACTGCAGCCTAAGTCAGAAAATTGTCTGTGCAGGTCCACATTTTGGTATAGCCCCATATAATAGTACCTCCCTATATTGATGATTTTAGGTACATTATTCACCGATTTTTTTTCTTCAAGTTTCTCTTTTCAATATTGTAATGGCTTATGACAAATACTACCTATGCAGCTCCACGTCGTCGTATAGACCCCAATATGACGGCTACATTTGGTATTTGTAAGATTTTAACAGAATTCAACAGATTTTATCTTTTTTTTTTGAAAATTGCTAAATTCGTTCCAAATGGAAGACCTTAGTTCTTCTCCTTCTCTGTGTAGAGGTAGAAGACCCCGGGTCTTCTTCTTCTATGTGTAGAAGTAGAAGACCCCAGGTCTTCTTCTTCCCTGTGTGGAAGTAGAAGACCTTAGGTCTTCTTCTTCTCTGTGTGGAAGTAGAAGACCTTAGGTCTTCTTCTTCTCTGTGTGGAAGTAGAAGACCTTAGGTCTTCTTCTTCTCTGTGTGGAAGTAGAAGACCTTAGGTCTTCTTCTTCTCTATGTGGAAGTAGAAGACCTTAGGTCTTCTTCTTCTCTGTGTGGAAGTAGAATACCTTAGGTCTTCTTCTTCTCTGTGCAGAAGTAGAAGACCCTAGGTCTTCTTCTTCTTCTTCTCTGTGTAGAAGTAGAAGACCCTAGGTCTTCTTCTTCTCTGTGTAGAAGTAGAAGACCCTAGGTCTTCTTCTACTTCTCTGTGTAGAAGTAGAAGACCCTAGGTCTTCTTCTACTTCTCTGTGTAGAAGTAGAAGACCTTAAGTCTTCTTCTTCTTCTCTGTGTAGAAGTAGAAGACCCTAGGTCTTCTTCTCTGTGTGGAAGTAGAATACCTTAGGTCTTCTTCTTCTCTGTGTAGAAGTAGAAGGCTTTAGGTCTTCTTCTTCTCTGTGTAGAAGTAGAAGACCTTAGGTCTTCTTCTCTGTGTAGAAGTAGAAGACCCTAGGTCTTCGTGAACGAAATAGGTGATAATTATAAATTCTATGGTATTTTGTTCCTGCCATTAGAGGTATTACTGTATAATACATAATAATAATGAAATGGCAATTAAAATGATGCAATATTCGCAGTATCTGTGTTTGTAGATCTCTTGCTAATCGATATTAGAATAGAAAACATTTTTTAATGCTTCAATGATGACGATTTGCAAAATTTTTGGCACATTAGCATAAATTACTTCATAAAATGGAGGACAATTCAAATTCAAAATATAGTTAATAATATAGTTTGTGGTTGCCATTCGAGTACGGAAGATGAAGCTCATAGTCATACATTTAATATTCACATTGTATATAATCGCTTCGATTGAGGTTAGTTTTTATAATTTCAAAATTTACAATAGTTTGAGAAAAAAGGAGAAGAAATTTGAAGTTATTAAAATTAAATTTAATATTTTTTCATTCTCTGCGCTGATTTTCCCATTTTTAGTCCTCCACCAGACGTTTCAATTTCGTTCTGACCGAATATTTTTGTAAAAATTTCACGAGTTTGGCCCGTTTCTCAAATTGTGGTTTCATTACACCAGATAAACCTAATATCTTTTATCTGAATCAGCAGGCCGTGTTCGAACGTGATTTGGGTACAAAGTTCTATGTACGAATATGGTTTCACTTCCGGCAGGGGAGTATGCGTAACAGTATTCGAATTATGGATTTGAAATTTAAATTTTGTGACATTTGGGATGGATCGACGGAAAATCGCCTGCTCAAGACAATCTTGAGTGAAGTTCGTAGGACATCGAATCTGCCGCATATGTGTCCGGTAAAAGGGGTGAGTTATGGGATGAGTTTTGTAATTTGGATTTTCTTATTGGAATTTCTTTGTTTCTAGAATTTCTTGTATAAAATGGAAAATTTCACCGTCACCGATAAGTTTGTGCCCACCTATGCTCCGTTTATGAATTTCACCGTTGCCCTGGAGTTTCTGGAGAATGACAAACTTTTTGCCATCACAAAAGTCTCCGGAGCTGTGGCACCGAAATGATATGCAATTTTCGAAAAATATATAAAAAAGTGATGAAAAATAATAAAATTTTTAATTGGAAACATACAACTCAAGTTGATCGTTATCGATATCGAATTTCGATAAATATTCTATAAAACATCAGTGAAGAATTAGCTACAAAATAGTTATCGATTAACAATGAATGGGTTTATTGCTGAGCGATAAATTTTATCCCTTTTCGATAACTTATCGATTAATAACTATTATGTATAAACCATTTACGAGAAATTTTCTGTAGAATCTTTTTTGCTTATCGATAATGTTAGCTTGAAATCTTTATAGCTGAATGATGATCGATAAATATTTTAAAGCAAAGATGTCAGTAGTCGATTTTCGATACATTTTCTATAAAGCACTTATCAATCACTAACCAGTTTTCAGTAAGAGAGTTTTATATTCACAAGCAATAGACAATCACGGAGGAATTTTCTGACACCTTTTTTTCGATAAATTGTTATTTGAATATGGTCGAATGGCATTTTAGAGTGAAGTTATTATAATCGATTTGCGGCAAACATTTATCGACGACCATCAAATCTTCTATATTTATCAAGTAATGATACGATCGAGTCATCGAGTAATGATACGATTATATAAAAAGTAGATCGATTAACGGAAAATTATTTCCGACCTCCATAAACTATTCAAAGAACATTCATTGTTAAGCGATAATCGATAAATATCCTAAGTCAAAGAAAGCAGTGAACAATAAATATTACATATGGATAAGTTATCGACGTTCCATACATATTTTATAGCACGCCTTTTTAATCGGTTGAGAGTTATCGGTCACCGATAACATTTCATATAAGACGGGTGCAAATTTAATAGAAGATTAGTAGTTAAGGGATTATTATTATCAAATATTCTAAAGAAAAATTATCGATTAATATTTTATTGTTAAGTTATCGATAGATATTCTATTAAATAAATATGATATGTCAAAGATATCTGTAATCGGTAAACACATACTAGTATTTTATATATTTTACTACAATGTTATTGGTTATCGATAAATTGGCTATACCAAACTTATTTGTAAACGGCAAATATTCTATACAAAATTTATCGCTTATCGATAGATGTTTTATAGAAAATTAAAAGTGGTATGTTCTATAGGAAATTTTCTATAGGAATTTTTTTTTCGATATCATAAAGGAAAAGTAGGTCGTTCAGAAATTTCAAAGTTCGAAAAAATATATTCAGTATTCAATCAACGAGATATATTTCGATATTTTCTCACCGCTCAATTTTCATTGGATCAATACACTCAATTATAAATAAAGTATATTGATCGATTCATTTTTAGTCTGCTCCAGAATGTAAAGGTTTCTACTACGATAACCGATTTCCGAAGAACCCATATCGAAGAAAATTGCGAAGCTAGTAGATCCTGTTAGAACGGAGCAATTATAAAGAAATGTTACCAGTAATCGATAAATGTTTTAATGATATGGTAAAGTTATCGGTAACTGATAAGGAACTATAGAATATTAATATTCTATAGCCCTTTATCAGTTACCGATAACTTTACCATATCAATAGAACATTTATCGATTACTGGTAATTTATCGTTCGTTAATAGAAGTTTAATAGAAAAAAAAAATCGGCATCCGATAAATCTTTTAGAGCAAATTTATCAAATGTCACGTTAATATTTATTTACGTATTTCACAAATTTCATTTGCTAAACAAAAACAATACGCATTTACTTCCTTGGCCCTAAACTGCGTCTTAATCTCCAAAAACAATTGACTTTTACTTCCTGCGGAAAAAAAAATGCTCCACCTGAGCACACGGAAATTCGCATTAGTAGGCTTGCCTCCTATTAATCTTTGCTTGTTTTCTTTCCTCCAAAAGAATCCAAACAAGCAAACAAACCAACAACAATAATAAATTATCTATGGATTGTTTAATTATTATATTTAATTGCGAATTTTCCAGATTACCAACCAAAGAACGAGAGGATTGAACGAGCAACCACTTGAGAAATTTAATCTCTATTTGAATTTATGTTCAGGTGAAACAAAAAAACCCAGCCATTTTTTTAAAGTGGCTCATTCATGGAAATGTTGATAGCGGGTGGGGACCAAGCATTTATTATTTGTATAGAAAACAATTATTTAACAACAACAAAATAATACTTGTTTTTTTTAATTATTTTATGGAATAAGACCTTTCCTTAAGTACATATTATTATTATTGTTGTTGTTGTTTTTTTGAATCATAAACAAGGGAATCTAATGCGGTAGCTTAAGTGCAAATGACGCAAATTGGGTGGTAAATATTTTCTAGGCCATAAAAGACTAGGGTAATGAATGAGAAGCAATAAAGGTAGGATTAAAATTGTTTCAGTTTTGTTTGGGGTCAGATGTATATATTTTCTATAAAAAAATCGAACTGCAATATAAATAATATACTCCGGAAAGAATTCTACTGCAATGCACCATAATAAGTAGTCAAGGAAGGATTCAATGAATCCTTGAATTCCTGAATTTCCTTGAATTCCTGAATTTCCTTCTACTTCAAAAGTCTTAAATTCGTTGTGTGAGGCCTTTTTATATCCTCAACCATAGCATGGAGGATTAAGTTTGTCATTCCATTTGTTCACCGACATTGTTCACCGGAATCGTTTCAAATTTCGTAATGATAGTTCGTATTGGTTACTACAGTCTGTGACAGAAAATTGTCTATGCAGGTCCAGGTCTTCGTACAGCCCCTAAGTATCGGTATCTCCCTTTTTTCGGTATTTTAATAGTTTTAGCGACATCATTTACCCGAATTGTTTCAAATTTCGTATTCGTATTGTTTCAAAACAGTATTGTAGCACTGGGTACTACAACCTATGCCTAAAAATTTCGTATGTGGGTCCACATCTTCGTATAGCCCCCATATAACGGTACCTCCCTATATTCGGTATTTTTATGATTTTATTTATCGGATCTGTTTCAAATTTCGAATATGAAGTTCGTAGTGGGTACTACAGCCTATGAAAGAAAATTGTCTATGCACGTTCAGGTCTTAGGATAGCCCCCATACAACTGTACCTCTCTATATTGTTATTTTGATGATTTAAGCGACAGTATTTACCGGATCTGTTCAAATTTCGTATTTGAAGTTCGTAATGGGTAATACAGCCTATGAAAGAAAATTGTAAATGCAGATCCAGGCCTTCGTATAGCCGCCTGATATTGGTTCCTCCCTATGTTCGGTATTTTTATGATTTTAGCTACATTATTCTCCCGATTTGTTTCAGATTTCGTATTTGAAGTTCGCAATAGGTACTGCAAGCTATGACAGGAAATTGGAATTGTTTTAAATTTCGTATTTGAAGTTCGAAATTTCTATTACTGCCTATGACAAAAAATTACTTCTCCAGATCCACGTCATCGTATTTTTGATTTTCAAGTTCCTTCCAAATGGTGGAGGGTAATAAAAGTTCGACCCGGCCGAACTTTTCTACTTTTTTTTGAGAATTCTAGCCCTACCCCTTCATCCAATACCAAATTTAGTACCATTTAGTACTTTTCGTACAATTGTAATACACATTTATAAAACCATCTCCACGTCTCAATTCCAGATACCAACAGAGACGTCAATACTAAATTTGAGGATTCCAGCCCTATCCCTACACTCAATACCAATTTAAGTACTATTTAGTACTTCGTATAGCCGCCAGATATCGGTACCTCCCTATGTTCGGTATTTTTATGATTTTAGCTACATTATTCTCCGGATTTGTTTCAGATTTCGTATTTGAAGTTCGCAATAGGTACTGCAAGCTATGACAGGAAATTGGAATTGTTTTAAATTTCGTATTTGAAGTTCGGAATTTCTATTACTGCCTATGACAAAAAATTACTTCTCCAGATCCACGTCATCGTATTTTTGATTTTCAAGTTCCTTCCAAATGGTGGAGGGTAATAAAAGTTCGACCCGGCCGAACTTTTCTGCTTTTTTTTGAGAATTCTAGCCCTACCCCTTCATCCAATACCAAATTTAGTACCATTTAGTACTTTTCGTACAATTGTAATACACATTTATAAAACCATCTCCACGTCTCAATTCCAGATACCAACAGAGACGTCAATACTAAATTTGAGGATTCCAGCCCTATCCCTACACTCAATACCAATTTAAGTACTATTTAGTACTTTCTGTACAATTATAGTACATAGTATATATATATATATATATATATATATATATATATATATATATATATATATATAAACTATACTATAGTACCAACAGAGACCTAAATATCAGATTTAAGGATTCCAGCCATATCTCTTCACCCAATGCCAAATTTAGTACCATTTAGTACTTTTAGTACAAATATGTGACACATTTCCAAACCAACGCTAAAATCTCAAACACAGATACCATCAGTAATCTAAATATCAAATTTCAGAATTTTATCTCTTCCCCTTCACCGAATACCAAATATAGTACCAATCAGTACTTTTAGCACAATTATGGGACACACTTCCAAAACCACATCCATATGTCCAGGATACAAATGAATTGCGGCCCTAATAGCAAATTTCAGATTTTAAGCACTTTCCCTTCATTCAATATCACAGTGTACGAAATATAGTACTATTTAGTACTTTTCGTGCACTTGTAGTACATATTTCCAAAACCACCTCTTTGTAACAAACTTACTACGAACAGGGAGGCCAAAACAAAATTGCAAAATTTAACATTCACCTTTAAGCAAATTGTTCCAAATTTAGTACCATTTAGTACCTCAAAAAAATTTCAAAAAAATTCCAGCTTGATCCGTTTACCCCAAACCAATGGTTCCAAATTTAGTACCATTTAGTACTGTTCGCACACTTAGTACATACTTTCAAAACCACCTTCATACATCGAACTTACTATCCAAACCCAAATTTTAGCCTCAAACCAAATTTTAGCTCTATCCGTTCACATGGTACCAAATGGCACCATTTTCCCATCCATGAGAGCCATGGCACATTCCAAATTTCAGAGTTCTGGCTCGTTATGTTTGTCCAATACAACATATTCAATGTTTAGTACATTTTTTCTTTTAGCACGAATTTTGCACATCTACACACCAAAACTGACCATGGAGTGAAATTTGAACATTCTAACCTCAGCCGCTTCGTCTGGGTGTTAATTCTCGATCAGTTAGTGAGTCAATTATTTCACTACTCTTTTATATGTGTCAAAGACATAGAAGTGTAAAGATGGGACAAGACAGTGTCAAGATATGGCAACCCTGTGAAAAAAGCTCTGTTGTTATGATATCGTAACAACATAGTTAGCAATGTTATGCGATTTAAACCGCTTAGGCAATACGCAATTAACTGGGAAAGTCTATGGAATAGAATTTTGAAGCCACTTTTTTGGATTTTTCAAACTCTTATTTCTCATTCGTGTTTGTAATTATGTTTTTTATATTAACATTCCTCTGTCATGAACCGTATTGTAGACACAAACCATTTGCTCAAAATGCATTTTGTCTAGTCTTTACCATTTTAGGTCTTTGTATGTGTATAGGTAAGGGATATGTAGGTCGACTTTCGAACAGCTGTAGGCAATTATTTTCCATATGTAACAGGTGGAGCAAAAGTAATCCTCTTATCAGAAAATGCTATAAATTTTACGATTGGTCCCTAATGTCTACAGCCAAAAAATATTTATAACATTTTCTGATAGGAGGATTACTTTTGCGCCACCTTGAAGAACTTTAAGATATCCTCTGATGCTTGAACAATATTTCAGTTGTGAAATACATAAGTATAGTTCATATGTACTTTTTCGATCACAGCGAGCCCTATTTTCAACGGAAAAATTCAGTTATTTCATTACTCTTTTATGCATATAGATAAGGGATATGTAGATCGACTTTCGAACAGCTATATGCAATTATTTTCCATAGCTAGAAGTGGAAGATATCCTGTGATACATAAACGATACTTCAGTTGTTGGATACATGAGTAAAGTAAATATGTACTTTTTCGATAACAGCGAGCCCGACTTTCATCGGAAAAATATAATTTAATCAAAAGTCTTGCTTGTTTGTTTTTTGTGAGAAAAAATATAAAATTAAATTTGCGGTAAAATTTCATTTACCCTATTGAGGAAAGGAAAGAGGGATTCTGAGGAGGAGAGGAAGGATTCTGAAGCAACGACCCTTATTAATCATTTAAGGCACACAGACACTTTAATAAGTACTGTAGTTATTATTCCATTAAAACTATCAATAATGAAATCAATTTGGTATTTATTGAAAATACTTTGACAACTGTTTTCCATGTTGTCTTCTTTAAATCGAAATATAAATTCCCATCAATCACAGGTGGCAGAGTGGGGCTATAGCTACATGTAATTAGGTCTTAGCGGCTCGTGAAAACAATTTTTTCAATTACCAAGAACAGCATTACAACCCACCCACCGCTAAGGGATACAGGTGATATCCCTCGAAAGAAAAACAATTTATATTCATATGCTGGCTTAAAATCGTCAGCGTCAACGTCACATTAGTGAGACAACACTGGAGGAGGCAAAAACCAATGGAAATGATGGCTAAATCGCGTGCTAGACATTTTCAAACAAAACGCGAAAGAAACTTTGTTTCTTCTTTAATTTGCCAGGTTTTTTTTCAGCAGTAGTTTCTGCTAAAATTAAATACAAAATCACTGTTACCAATGGCTAAATGACGTCAACTCTTGTTATCAGTCAGTCTGTCAGTGTTTTTTTTTTACAGAAATAAATTTTTGCTTACAAGAGAAAGATAAAAACATGAAATACTGCTGTAAAATGGGCAGACAAAAGTTCTCACTGAAAGTTTTTTTTTATGGAAAAGTTTTAAGTTTTGGGGAAACCTTAGAAAGAGATTTTAACAGAAAACTACTCATAAGGCCTTTTCTAGCTGTGATACCTTATAAAAAGCCGTGGCATATGTCATAAAGGACGTGAAATGCCAGACAATTCGAGATTATACTGAAAGGAGGACATAACCTCAACCTCAGGTTATGAACCTCACTTATGACAAACCGATTTTTTAAACTTGGTCAGAAGAGTAGCTAGTTCCATATTCTCCATGTTTCGAAAACTAGTAAAAATATCAAAATTAGATACTGAGATGAAAAAACTGCAACCAACTTCAGACTGCTGGCATTTTCAAGCCTACAAAAGCATTTTGGTGAGAAAAAAGTTATTCGTGAAAGAATTCAAGCGCGATAGGGTCATTTCTTTTTATTTGGCTGGAAGACCACAGGTGGCTATCGTTAGAACACTCCAGCATTTAAACATGAATAAATCTTTTGTGTCTCGTACCATCGCTCGTTACGCGAGATACTGGTAGCGTAGTCCGACGTCAAGAAAGGGGACGAAGTAAAACAGCAACATCAGCAGAAATGGTTCGAAAAGTAATGAAGCGACTAGATCGAAATCCGCGTCGCAGTGGCCGAAAAATGGCTCGTGAACTGAACATATCGCAATATTCCATTCGGCAAATTTTTGGAAAATGAGCTCGGGATAAAGCCATTGAAATTCCAAAAAGTGCAAGAACTTACACCGCAACAGAAAGAAAATAGACTCAGAAGAGCTAAACTGTTGCTTCGCTTGACCTGAAGTGATGGACTGCCGAATTTGGTTTTCTCCGATGAGAAAACATTCGTTGTCCAGCAATGAGCTCGGGGTAAAGCCATTAAAATTCCAAAAAGTGCAACAACTTATATCGCAACAGAAAGAAAATAGACTCAAAAGAGCTAAAGGGTTGCTTCGCTTGGCCGAAAGTGGTTTTCTCCGATGAGAAAACATTCGTTGTCCAGCAGTTTGTAAACAAACAAAATTATCGTGTTTACTTGTCAAAGAGGTCAGCTGAAAATGTGCACATTCGATTGGCCACCAGAACTCAAGCGCCGCCCACGGTGATGGTGTGGGCCGCCACACGCTCGTATTAATCGACCGTGGCATCAGAGTAAATGCCGAATATTATCTTGAAAATATTCTGGAGGGCCTATTAAAGCCTCGGGCACGCAAACATTTTGGCAGCAGACCTTTGACATTCCAACAGGACTCAGCACGATTACAAAATGAGGTTCCTCGCTTTATTTCCAGCGCACAATGGCCACCAAAATCTCCGCATACCAATCCGTTGGACTGGTGTCTGGAGTATTTTGAAAAGCAAGGTTGGCACTAAAAAATCGATCACTTAAAGAACGCTTCGCCGGTAATGGACCAAAATACCGCAGAACAACATTCGGGCAGCGTGTGACGGTTTCATAGGCCGTTTGAAGACCATAAATCGTGCCAAAGGTGACCAATTCGAACAAATCTAAACTTATTCTAAATATTGATTGTATTTCCGATTTTTTTTCTTTCCATTATATAAAATTAAGAAAAAATGTAAAAATTATGGCGTTTGACTTTGTTGCAGGTTGTTTTATCTCACCCTGTATGTACCCATTGAGCCAAAAATGGGTTGGAAGAAGCACGCGATAAACTTTCCTAGCAGAGCACGCTTTTTGACTATAAATTTCAATGATTTGCAATATTCCTTTTGTCATGGATAAATTATAGATCAAATTTAAGATGTTCGACAGTGAAACAATACATGAAACGTACGTAAGCTCTCTCTCTTCCTTATGAAGATACCATCGATTGAAAAATCAAGTGAACTTTATTATTTTATATTTTCTCTGATGTTCTGTTTACTTTAATAATGTAGCTCCAGATTTTGGATACATAAACTGTGCGCAATGGATAAAAATCACCTAAGGTCTTCTCTTCTATTGATCTATTGATTGATCTATTCTTTTCTTCTCTGATATATGCAGCTCCAGATTTTGGATATATCAACTAATGTTAGAGGCAATTTCTTTATATCCATTAATGGCAGAAGTGACAAGCTTCCAAAATCTTTTTATTTCATATCGATATGACCATTTTTACCAAAGTTACAGCCATTTGAAAATCACCATAAATGTACTCTTTTCTGTTTGCCCCATTATTTTTCGCCGTTAGTTGGCGAACTATACATCACTAATACAGGGTGACACATACAACTACTTGATTACACCAACTCATCATAATATGACAAGGTTTTATTAAAACACTAAAAGAAGCCAAAACACCCTGTTGATCGCCAGGATCAGGATTATGCCTTGTTATACGGCTTGTGGCAGCTGATAAGAATCCCAATTCTTTTCCACATAATTTTGTCCTTTTCAATAACCAACATTCCAATGCCTCTTTACCGTATACTCTACCCACAAAGCAATGAGTGTGTTTTATATGTTCCCATTAAAATAATTTGCCTACTTTACTCATGAGAGCATCCCTGCAAGAGAGCGAGGGAGAGAGCGAAAATGAGTTTGCGTTTTGCCTCGGAGAGAGTTCATTGACAAAAATAAAACAGTGAGAAATGAAATGAAATAAAAAAGAAAACCCAGCAAATGAAACGCCAGACAAGGCATGTGGAATATGAAAAAAAAAGTTCAGTGCTCTATTAAAGAAAAAACAGCTGATTTCTTTTCATGTGGTCTCTTTCTAGCCAACACCAAAGAAATGGCAATAATGATAATAATAAAAAACAATAAGAAAATATCAGAATAAATCTAATCGTTTAATGGCAAGCCAGAGGCCCCTAGACAACAAGAGAGTGGATTTTTATACGAGAGCCAAAAGTGGCGAGTGGAAAACGACACACACAAAACACCCACAAGAGCAGGCCAGAGTGGGCTAGAGCAGCAATGAGTGCGCCGTGAACTATGATTGGATGGATTTTGTCGGAAACTCACTCAGTCAATTCAATTGAGGCACTCGTTTCAAACGGACGTGTGGACGTGTGAACGCGGAAGATAATCGAAGGAAACAAAAAACTTCTCTAAGAAAGCAAAAAAGCTAAGATTTTTTTGGTGATTTTCATATTGCCCCTTAATTTCTTGTCCTGTAAAGCGTGTGAGGAAAATAATTTCCGTTTCTATATCCATATACTGAAAGAAGTTAATACAAGCAAAGTAAAAAGAAGAAGCATATGAAAAAATATATGTATAATATAGAAGAAAGCTAAACAGCAAACAAAAAAAAAAAAGAAATAAATTGTTAATTTTGTTTTTATAATTTCACTTAACAACCACCAACAAGAAAAAGTGATGTGAAACAAAAATAAAAGAAGAGCAAATAATTAAATTGAAAATAAAAAAAACAACAGCAAAGTGTAACAAATTTTGTGCAACAAAATTCCGAAAAAAAGCAAAAGCAAGAAGAAGCAATTTACAAAAATCAAGTGAAAAAAGTAAATGGAAAAAATTTCCATTCAGAAATTTCTCAACTAAAAAATTTTGTCATCTTCGTTGTGTCGTGTTTAATAGCCATACATTGTGTCGAAGTATCTGCAAGATTGCCACCACTGCTGGGAGAACGGGTAGTGCAAGTCATAAAAAAAACGGAAAAACAAAAAGGTAAAGCAATAAAATAAAAAAGCAAAAAACATAAAATTAAAATAAAATCTAAAAAATTGCAAACAAGTTTCTTTTGACATGGGTAAATTTTTTTTCTGTTCGCTCGTCGCTCGTTTGTCGTGTCTTTTGCCATCGTCATTGCGATTGTGTGTGAAAAGTAGTGTGCAATAAAAAATAAAAGCAAAGAAGACCAGTGGAAACACAAGAAACAGGCTCAAAAGCAAAATAAAGTGCATGAGTGGATTTGCGTATTTTACAAAGAAAAAAATCATATAAAATAACAGAGAAAGAGAGAGGAAATGAGTCAAATTTTTAAACTCTCAGTTGGAGAGTTAAAATTTTGTCTGTTTGTCTTCTTCTTCTTCCTCTACGCCACTTCAATTGTGTTTTGTCTGCCAAAAAAAAAGAAAAACAAATCAAATAAAAACGAAAACCTACCATCAAGAGGTCGTCGTCGTCGTCGTGAGTCTGATTGCCTGTCTGTTGTCCGTCCGTCCGTTTGTTCGTCACAACAATTACTTTTTTTGTCTGTTTGGAAATGTCATGTTGTTGTGTGTGTTGTGAAGTCACAACAACAAACCAAACAACCATAACTAAATGCAAAACAGTTCATGGGCCACAAACGGCAGAAGACTGCAAGTCTCGTTGAAAGCCAGTGAAGGAAAAAAGAAAATAAAAATAATAATAAAAACCAAGATAAAACAACAACGCCGCCACCACCAACTACAAGTGACTTTTTAACGCAGTTGTAATGATGTGTGCAAAAAATCAAACAAAAGCGGGGATTACAGAAGAGTCTAGATAAGAGTAATTCGTATGGTTTCGGGTAAAGGCGTTAAATAAATTAAATTAAAAAAGGGAATTATCTTAAATATTTTAGGGAGCGAAATTTTGAAATGGTTCCTGAAAATTAAAAAAAGGAATATATGAAAATATCCAAAAAGGAAAATTTTGAGACATGTACATGGTGAGATAAGAAAACTGCAACAAAGTCAAACGCCATAATTTTTGAATTTTTTTTAATGTTTTTGAAAAAATATATTGAAAAAATGTCGGAAATAGCATCAAATTTTAGATTAAGTTTAGATTTGTTCAAATTGGTCACCTTTGGCATGAATTATGGCCTTCAAACGGCCAATGAAACCGTCACATGCTGCCCGAATGTTACTTTGAGGTATTTTGGACCATTCTCGGCGAAGCGCTTGCTTGAGGTGATCGACACTTTGGTATTTTTTAGTGCCAACCTTGCTTTCCAAAATACTACAGACACATAGGTCCACCGGAGATTTTGGTGGCCATTGTGCGGTGGAAATAAAGCGAGAAACCTCATTTTGTAACCATTCTTGGGTGGCGTAGGTGTGTGAAAATTTAAAAAAACGCGGCAAAGACGAAACTGCTCTACATAATTTTCATCTGTAATTCAGAAAAGTAACATCTCTAATTCAGATTTTGGAGCAACTCAGACGGAATGTTTTTATATCCTCAGCCATACAGAGGGTATATTTCATTTGATACGGCCAAAACGTGCCTCATCGAAATAACAGTTTTAGACCCTAGGTCTCTTTGGACCAATTCCGTTTCAGGACCATCCGCCCATCCTTTCGCCTGTCTCTCTGGCCGGCTGGTGGGCACGATAACTCTCGAAGGGAGTATCCGATTTCGCCCAAACTTGGTACATCGTAATATAATTGCCAAACTTAGATCGAGTTTGGAGATGGACAATATCGGCCAACTTCTGGTACCTCCCACACAAAATGTCAACATTTTCAAAGAAAATAATCCACTGCACAGAAAGAGAAAGAATGATCCGATTTTGCTCCAACTTTGCGAATCCTAATATTTACATCAGAGCTAGGTCAGGTGCGAAAATGGACAATATCGGTCCACTCTGTCAAGTACCTCCCCCACGCATGGACAAAATTTGGAATAATTATATAATTCTTATAAAATGTGATGTGAGATTCCGATTGTCTTCAAAATACACAAATAACAATATTTTTATTGATCAAAGGTCTGGTGTGAAGATGGAATATAACGGTCCACTACTTCTGGTACCTCCCCCACAAAGGGTCAAAATTTTGAATATCCATAAAGTTCATTTAACGCGAAATTAACATCCGATTCCATTAAGACTTGGCACATCTCAATATTTCCATAAACACAAGATCTATTATAAAGATGGTAGAGATCCCACCATTCCTTCTGGTACCTCCCCTACAAAGGGTAACATTTTTGAATAACAAAAACGATTATAAAACCCGAAATAAGCATCTGGTTCGCTCCTAATTACACACATCACAATACTTTAACTATCCCAAGGTCTGGTTTGAAGATGGGATATATCGGTCCTCTCCTTCTTGTACCTCTCCCACAAAGGGTCAAAATTTTGAGTATCCATGAAGCTCATAATACGCGAAAATAACGTCAGATTTCATTCAGACTTGGCACATCTCAATATTTTCAACAACACTAGATCTGTTACGAAGATGGTAGAGATCGGACCTTTCCTTCTGGTACCTCTCCCACAAAGGTTTAAAATTTTGAATAACCACAACGACCATAAAACACGAAATAAGCATCCGGTTCTCTTTATATTTCACACATACCATTATTTCTACCAACACAAGATCTACTGTGAAGATGAATTGTATTCGTCCACCCCTTCAGGTACCTCCCCCACAAAGGGTCAAAATTTTGAATATATAAACGAAGCTCATAAAACGTAAGATTAACGTCCGATTTCATTCAGACTTGGCACATCTCAATATTTCCAACAACACAAGATCGCTTACGAAGAAGGTAGAGATCGGACCATTTTTTCTGCTATCTTCCCCAAAAAGGGTCAAAATTGTGAATAACCACAACGATCGAAAAACACGAAATAAGTATCCGATTCTCTTTATATTTCACACATACCATTACTTCTACTAACTTAATATCTGCTTTGAAGATGGTCCACTCAGTCCACTCCTTCTGGTACCTCCACCACAGAGGATTAAAAGTTTGGAAAACAAAACGTCCATGAAACGCGGAGTAAGCATCCGGTTCTCTTCATATTTTATATATCCTAACATTTTTGCTAACACAAAATCTGTTGTGAAGATGATTGATATCTGCCATCAGATTCTGGTACCTCACCCACAAGTGGCCATAATTTTCAATACTTTTATCTGTCATAAATTCCAAAAAAATCAGCGATTCTTTACAACTTCCTATAACTAAATTTTATTTATGATTTCCGCATAAAATTGGTCATAAATGTTCGATTTTCTTGTAATTTTGCCCATACCAATATATTTATCGGTATTAAATGAAGTATGAAAATCAAATACTTCGCTCGACTATATCTAGCACCCCACCCCAATTTGAACATTTTCTAAAAATAATCAATTATCTCATATAAAGTATAGAAAGTAGTCGATATAGTCCAAATCTGGCACGTTGTAATATTTTTATCAGTCTTAGGTCAGATACGAATTGGTCAATATTGGCCAACTGCTTCGAAACCTCCCCCATGAAGGTTAACAGTTTCAATAATCATAACTGAAGGCTGGGGGTAGAAATCTGTTGGCAAAACCGACTGATAACTATTCTACTTGTTTTATTTACATTTAATGGAATTAAAATTATAAGCCCGCAGAATTTACTTAATTCAGTGCAAGATAAACGTAATATTCGACATATATTTGTTCCATCCAATTCCAATGATAGTTAACCTAATTTTCTTCACACAAATTTCCAATATAAACTTCAATTTCTTACGGTTGCCTCTTCTAAATCTGCCTATTATTGTAGGCTTTCACACAGTCCGCTTCGACTGACTTTTTCCTTATTTTAATGATTGAAATTTCATTCACTATTTACCTAATATAATTAATGGCTACAAAATAAATAGGCGCAATTTCTTGCATATACCAAGTTGCAATTATACAGATTTAACTGTATTATTGTCAATGTTTTTTTGCTTTGGTGGTTAATTTCTGTGTTTATCCCCTCAAATTGTTACCACTTCAACGCGTATCTCAGCGATATGGTCATACCACAGACGAAAACGACGTTATGGTTTAGTTGTTGGTGTTGTCCCTCAACAATATTTATATTTTGTATAGTTATTGCATGGTTGGTCTCTTTTTTCCCTCTGTTTCCAATTCCAATCAACACGTCATGTTTTGGGGGCTTGTTACGTTTGTTTTTTTTTTTTCTTCTCTCCCCTGTCTTTAATTATTCGTTGTGTGCTAAAGTTTTGTTTTTGCTTAGGTTTTTTTTGTAGCCAAATCAATCAAACAAAACGGCATATGGCATTTGCATTACAATTCAATTAATCTCTAATGCTACTTCTCTCTTTCTCTCCCCCTCTCCTCCCATAATTGACTCTCATTAATTGAGTAATAAACCGCTACAAAAACTTATTAAAAGAGCTTACATGGTCATGGTATGTGACAATTATCTGTGTTATGTTGTTATTCTCTGAGTGTAATCAATCATAATCATTTACTGTGAATTTTGTTCGAGTGTAGTTTTTTTGCTTCTCTCAATATTTTTTTGTGTTATGTTTTTTTTTTTGTCTTCTGATAAGTGTGAATCTTTTTAGTTGGCTTTGTTTCCTTTTAGTTTTGTCGCCCATTTGTCTCAATATTGTTGTTGTTTTTGTTCTGACTACAACTTTTCAATGCACACTGCCTTTCGCGTTTTTTTTTCTGCTTCCCATGCTGTCTTTGCTGACATGATTGCCATTATTCTTTTTTAAATTTAAGAAAATCCCCTTTTTGGGAGGGAATTGTGTGTTGAGATTTTTTTGGATTAATATTTGCAATGGTAGTATTGCAGGGGAATGGATTTTAGACCAGATTTACACTAGGCAATTATAATTGCTGCAATTTATTGGTGAGAGAGATTGGTGAGAGAGGTTGGTAAGAAATAAGGGACCCCATTTAATCCCTGTCTCCTATCAACAAACTGACAATTACGGCAAATAAAATTACTCTATTTGTATCTGGACC